TGTTTAATGTGCTTTCATGCATTTTCTTATAAATATGCTATTTTTGTGATTAGCCGACTCAAGGTCATTCGTGCGTTCACATCTGAAAAACAACTAAAACAAGGAAACCATGAATGTATGGATCATATGAATGCATGAATGCAACGTATGAAACAATTACAATGAAATGAACGAACTGACCTGGTGTTAGAAACTTTTGAGACAGACGAAATAACTAATCTTAACAGCAGCGGAAACCAAATGCAACTTTTGTGAACAATGTGCATCATGATAAGTTGTGGATAAAGACCAATCTGTAAACGAACGGTTAAGGAACCTCAATCCAACATGGCCGGCTCTTTCGGACGCGCTCCTTGAATACGACGTGCTTTTTCCTCTCCAACCGGAAAATACCAATTCTGTGAATTATCCGTTTGGGAAACCTGATCTTCCTAGCCGGTGAATTTAATTCAACCATTACTTACATAGTAAATCTCTGTGTGGTAAGTCCAGCTGTCTCGAACTACTGCCAAAGCTTCAGGTGCTACTTTTGTAGCAGCATCTTCCTCACTCGTTCAGAGAAACAAGACTTGTTGGTCTACCACGTGATTGCCGTGAAGCCGATCATTCAGAAAGTACTAGGTAAAGTCGAAAACCTTTTCTTTTCCTTGCCTTATACTTTTTCAGTCTTATTCTTGCTCTTTTGGATAGAAACTGTTGCTCTCTTAGTTGTGTATAGCATAATTTATAGTGATTGTTAATATGGTTGTCGAAAGCAGCCTTAAAAAAGCCACTAGAATACCGTACTCTGTAGTCACAAGGGCTTCAGCCAGGGAAGGAAAAAATCCAGGGATTTCAACCCCTTCCCGCATACCGATCCTAAAGACTCGTGTAGCTTTAGTCTGCCCTGATACAACGCCTGCATTGCCACAGTCTAGTACTGAAACGGCACAGGCAATACCAGAAGGACAGAATTCTACACCTGCATCAACTGTAGGCCAGTGTGTGAAACACATCAAGCCTAAAAGGAAACGTTCAAGACGTCATAAGACCTCGAAGGCGTCATCAAGGAAAGGGGATGAATGCCAGGCGTGCAACATCACAGTTTCTAAAACTGATTCAGCGTTTGAATGTAATTTTTGCAAACGATGGGTGCACTGCCGTTGTGACAAAGAAGTACCGAAAGCATACTATGAGTTTATGAGAAATAACCCATGCCCATGGTTTTGGTACGTGTGTCCACTTTGTCGCCCTGGCATAGTCCCACAAAGCGTGTCTGCGGATAGCAGAAATAACACGCTCTTGTGCCCCAACACAGTATCATGCAGCTCCCCCCTGCTAAACTCGCACTGCCGAAACTGGTCAAAGACTTAAAGAAGGACACACCAGCCCTACTGACTGGAAATGCCAATTTTCACAAGGTGAAGATTAGCAAGGTTCCATCCACATCAGGGGAAGGCAAAATTACAAAGGCACCACTTGCATCCACTAGCAAGCCTGGCAACACAAAAAAGGCTGTCCAGGTACCGATGAAGCCTAATGTTGCTAATGATGCAAAGGACTGCAAGAAGCCGAAGGCAAAACCTAAGTCTGAGGGTAGTCGGTCTAACTCTCTCATCCTCTTTAACGTACCTGTGAGCACGGATAGCTTGCTCGAACAACGGGCCCTGTTTGATCAGGAACAGTGGTCCAACCTGTGCGGCAAACTAGGTCTGAACATTAGTTCAGCAAAACTGTGCAGACTGTACAGGGGTGTCCACACGCCTCAGGGTAAGCCACCCCCATTACGGGTTACACTGGACTCTGCCGAAGAGGCCGAAAAAGTACTGTTAATGGCTCAGGTACTAGCCCTGGACAGAAGTTCTAACATAAGGGCGCGGCAAGATAGACCATGGGCTGTCAGAAATATGGCGAGGGAGTCACCGGAACTGATGCCTTCCACCTCTATGGTGGTACACGGTGTTCCGGAGCTGGAAACCGGCACTGCTTGTGAAAAACACATGCACGACGTACAACAATGGAGATGGCTGTCATCTCAGATGGCCCCTGGCGCTTCTGGAGCCATCTCCATTTTCCGACTACCTCGTCCCGCTCATCTAACATTGATTAACTCTCCAAAGCTGCTGTGTGTCACATTCAACTCCCCGGAGCAGTTGTCCATATCACTTCAACGGTGGTATGAGACCAAGGGAAAAATTGGAGGACACATCCGATGCTGTGAAAGCAGACCCGAAATATAAGGAGGCAGCAAACTGAGGCTTTAATACGTAACCCAAGCTTCGGTGACACTAGAGCGATGCAGTTCTGAGAATAACAGTCTGTGTCACCCAAGTGTCCTGCCTAAATCCATTGAAAAAAACTACAACGGGCCGGTTCTATCGGAATCGGCCAACTAGTTCCAACATCAAGTCCCCCACCAGCAGACGGTTTCACGTCAACTACCCCACAACACTCTGAGGTTGTTAGACTCACTGTCAGTTGCCTATATAGCAATGTGAGGGGGCTGAGAGGGAAAGTAGGTGAACTTCGAAATCTCCAAGCACACCTTCAACTGAAAATAATCATTCTTACTGAAACGTGGCTAAACCCCACTATCGCCGACAGTGAAATCAGTATAGGTGATATGGTTCTGGTCAGGAGAGACAGGGATAATAAGGAAGGAGGGGGAGTTGCTATATACTTTGATAGGCAACTTGAATGTGTGTCCGCAACGGACCCACCACTTATCGAACTCCCAGACTCCATATACAGTTACGGACCAAAATGGTGGCACCACTATTTCAGAGGAGGAAGACCTAGCGACTACTCCCCAAATAAACCCCGCAATAGTACTAAGGAAGCTACAGCGACTCATACCTGGGAAGTCCCCAGGTTGTGATGACATCAGGCCATCTGTTCTGAAACAGTGCGCCGAGGCTCTCTGTAGACCCCTGTGCGACTTGTTCCAACACTCAATGGATTCGGGGACCCTGCCAAGGGAGTGGAAAAGAGCCATCCTTTCTCCAATCTTCAAGGGTGGGGACAGGCAAAACGCTGCTAGCTATAGACCAGTAGCTCTACTCCCAGTGGTATCAAAAGTACTGGAAAGTATTATTGACGACCACATCAGGGAATATTTCGATAGGACTAATATACTACATGAAGCCCAACATGGTTTCAGAAAAGGCAGATCCTGCGTCACTAACCTACTGTCAGCTTGGGACGACTGGACATCATGCTGGGACTTGAACGTACCAGTCCATGTGGTCTTCCTAGACTTTGAGAAGGCATTTGACACTGTTCACCATGACCTTCTCCTACATAAAATAAACCAGGCAGGCATAGGTGAGCCACTTCTGTCATGGTTGAAGGACTACCTAGCCGACAGGCAATTTTGCACTAAGGTTAACCGAGTCCGATCATCTTGGCACAGATCGTCATCAGGAGTGTCGCAGGGTTCTATCCTAGGACCACTGATGTTTTTGATTTTCATCAATGATCTACCACGCCGTCTGAGCTGCCCGACTCTCCTGTACGCTGACGACGTAAAAATATGGAGGGCGATAAAGTGTCCGGAGGACTCAGATAGGCTACAGGAAGACCTAAACCTTCTGGAAGACTGGGCGGTGGCCAGTGGCATGACTTTCAACTTGAAAAAGTGCAAAGTAGTGAAGTTGCGCACCTGTAGACTGCAGAATGCAAGTTACACCCTGTGCAATGAAAGCTTGTCCTGCACAACGTCGGAACGCGACTTAGGTCTAGTTCTAACGGAAAAAATGGACACAAGCGTAAATTACACAGGGGATGTAGCGAGGGCATATGCGGTCATACACTTTACGCATAGACAGTTAGGTGCACTCACTCCTGAGCTCTTTCTAATGTTGTACAAAACATACGTCAGGCCACACCTTGAGGTGCATAATATTATTGCACCCCCAATGCTGAGAAGAGATGCCAACCTCTTGGAAAGAGTCCAACGACGGGCAACAAAAGGAGTGGTTGGTCTCCGAAACAAACCATATGATGAAAGGCTGAAGAAATTAGGCCTGTTCACACTTAGTTACCGTCGGCTTAGGGGGGATTTGATTACTGCCTACAAAATAACAAATGACCAGAATCACCCAAACAAAGGTGTTCTGCCATTGAGTAGGTATAGGCTTCCACGTGGAAATCCCAGAAGGATAGCTCACCAGAGGGCAAGGACCCGGGTGCGCTCCCACTTCTTTTCACTGCGGGTTTGTCGTCCCTGGAATTCCTTACCGGCAGATGTAGCTATGGCACCGTCTTTGGACGCCTTTAAGCGAAGGCTGGACAACCATGCAGCGATACAAGGACTGCATCCAAATGGCCTATCTCCTTAAAATCGCATTTACCAATCAGGGTAGATAATTAAACTCGTCATTTTACTTCTTTACATTCTCTCCCGTCTTACTCTCCTGACAACTTATTAATATTATAATTACTATTATTATTATTACTATTACCGATATATATATATATATTATTCTTCAAACTTAATGAGCTGACTGTTGTTACGTTTCCTATTTCCGTTTCTGTCTCTTAGTCTGAATAGCTTCACTAATTATATCTATTATTATTATTACTATTATTATTATTATTACTATCTCTTTTCTCTTGTCGACGATACTGAAGGACTAACTGGCGAAAGGATCAACTCCAATCACAGTAGTAACAGTCTTAACATACCTCATACTACAAACCACATATAATTAATCCCAGCACTACTCCCTTTGGAGTCAACCAAAGCTACGACAGTCGAGTGGCGGGACAAGCTACGCAGAAGTTTACCGAAGATCAAGAACCTATACCTCACAATCAAGAAGCGAGCACAAAGAAATCAAATTGGTTTATACTAGCTCGTAAAAACGATATTGGATATTGGAAAGTGGCCTTCAGGTGCCTAACTCCTCCGATGACCTTGAGCGTTCGGAACAATTTCAGTTTTCGCATCCCTTGGGTCACTATTGTTGGGCTTTACCTATCTTTACTCGCGGGCACACAAAATTACGGTCGTCAACAGGATGCCCGATCATCTTAATCACAATGTGCATTATTCGGGTAAGTGGTTCATCATGTTCATAGACGTATTTCATCAGTCTCACTCTCGACGACCCCCTTTAAGAATGAAGGCATTATGGTAGTGTAGTCAGAGTCATAACTGTGATGTCCTGACTACGTACTGAAATAAAATTGGAAAGGTTTTTGCTCCTAGATGATATTATTTAGATATTTTGTTAAACATGAGGGGCTTCAAAGCTGTTTTAGTCTTATTTTTATAAGAGCCTATGTTTGTTTAATCCCCCCGACAGGACTTCTAGGAGTCGGTCTGAATAGTTGCTGATTATGTGGAAGAACTAGTACTCCGTACTCATATTAGTTTTGAAAACTGTAAGAAGACGGGGATGGATGGTGATTGTCAATAAGAAAATATGAACTAATGAATTAAGCGTTTATGTTTATAACCAGGGTTGTAATGACTCTTACTGGGATTTTGGCTACGAATTATAACATTTCATGTGCATTTATTAAGTCATATAGTGTTATTTTATGTCATTGGATATACTGCCGATGAGTGGCAGTTTGTGATAAGTTGCATTTATTCGATGGATCAAAGGGCATCAGAACACTTACAACCTTTCAAGTGAAAGAGCTCCGTATGTAAACAGCGAAAGTAATTTTTGTTTCCAGCTAAAAAGACTGTGTATCTTTAGCCCATTTATTTTATTATTTAACTGTCAAAATACTTATTCGGATACTGTTTCACATATCAACTGATATCACATCAGTTGTAGGATCACTTATACTCATGGATAAGCTATGCAGGAAGTATAACGGTTTTCGCAGCATACTCAAGATTTTCAAACTGTCGTGTTAACTATACTGTTTAAAGTGAGAAACCAACAAATTTATTCTGAGAAAACGAGATACTTCTGTACAAATTTCATTTTTTATTTTGTGATTCATCAAGTTAGATCTCCTGTGATATTGTATAGTTGGAGGCAATCGACCATAGGAAGCCTTGGACCTAGATTTCGTGTTAGTTGGCACTCGTCAGCAAGGCGTATCTGCAACCTCGAAGAAACTCATGTCCTTTCTGAGATTCGAACCCGTGTCACCCAATGCTACAGTCAGAGACGTTACCACTGAGCTATTCGGGCTCGCTAATGATAGGAATAAAGAAATAATAATGGCGGTTTTGTGTTCTCTGAGCTGGTTAGTTTAATTATGAGTCTTTTGATGTCCTTCTGGGTATCTTCAACACAGACTTTAAAATAAGGATAGTGGCGTTTAGGAATTCATTCACCCAACACAGGTTTTTGTAAAGATATACACGAATTTCCCTGTGTAAATTTGAACAGAGATAAACCAAACACTGGTGCAGAATAATATGAATCCGTTTCATTTCTTCGGTTCTCTTCGTCTGCGTACAACCTACAACGTTAAGTAAAATCAGTTGCCATACAATTACTGCATACATTTTGTTTATCACTAACAGTCAGTAAAGAAAGTCAGTGGAACAAAATATAAGGATGACAGGGTTATCTTAAGTTCCCACAAAGGACACCGGGTTGATGCATGGGAGCATTCAAAATAGTTAACGGACGAAACACCGTTTTCTGTTTGCTGAAGCTGCCGTAATAAAACGACAGTAACCTGACCTCTGTGATTTAGACGAATCTGTCATTTAACATCAACTTCCCTGGTAACTCTCATTTTCCGCATGGCTTTCAAATAAGACCTAATTTTCGAACTTTTGAAACCTACTCACTGTTTTACATCATCTTTTCATTCGACTTCGTATACACTCAATTTTGATTTTTCAACCTTATGAATGTTAATCATTGTATTTTCGTATCCCTGGTTGCGCAGTTGTTGCTGACTCATCCCATGACTTACAACAATCTTTTCTGAAAGACGAAATGTACAGCAACTGGTTTTATTGTTGTACGCAGCTGAACACAACCGACGAAATAAGATGGATCTGTATTATTATTTACCAATATTTGTTCTCCTTTCAAATTTTTAATAATAGTAAAGCGTTTCTCTGATCGAAAGAAGTAGAGTAGGACCTAAATGTGAAACCTGCCTGTTTTCAGTCGAATAAATCATTGCTCTGTAGAATTAAATATGAAATTCCTCCATCTATTAAGCCAATTTTCCCCATACTGAATATTGTGTTTTTTTTTCGTTGATTTAGGAAGCATATTCTAAGAGTTTATTGTCGACATAATGGATATCAAAGAGGCGATTGAAAAGTTCAATATAAAATCTTTAAAACCAACTTTAATTGAAACCCGTTGCTTGGATGGATCAGTCATTATAAATGATAAATACGGTTTAGAGACTAAAAGTGATGATAAAGTTGATCGTCCTGAACCAAATTTTTCTTCTTATGGTTATATTCCAAACTTTGAGCCTGATCTACAAATAGGAAGAATTAATCTATCAAACTTAACAATTCTTTTTGGTAAGCCGATTTTATATTTGACAGAATTGTGAATAACTCTTTTTCCTATTTTATAGGTTCAGCTGATGTCGCTCAAAACTTGGAATTATTAAAAGAGAACAATGTAACGCATATTATTAATCTAGTTTCTAATGTTGTGCCAAATCACTTTCCTAAATCATTTGAATATCTTGCTCTAGTAGCATATGATACTTATACATTTGATTTACACGATACTCTTAATCAGTGTTGTGACTTTCTAAACAGTTTCAAAGAGAAAGGCGGCTGTTGTTATATACATTGCCAAGCTGGTCTTTCACGTGCACCATCTATTGTCATTGGTTATTTAATTCAAGTGTGTAATTATTCTTATAAAGATGCCTATAATATGGTGAACAATACTAGAAATGTTTGTATCAATATGAATTTTAAATCACAATTAGAGCGGTTGAAGGATAATTAATGATTATTGATACTCATCGCCATAATGTACAGACAATGAGACGAGTTTATTTATTTTCTACGAATTGATTATTTTAAAATTTAGTGGAATAGCATGAAGTGAATATATGTATAGACATATTGTACTTGATAAGTTACTGAAAATTTATTCTTTGAAAAGTCATTGTATATACTATGGTTTCTAGACAGTCAGCTTTTATTTTCTCTCAGAATTTACTTTGATCACCTGTGAGTTCTTTGTTTTCTTTTTCTGTATCATTTGATAAGAGCATATGATGAATTAAACTATAATTTTGCTCTTGACTTTCTTAAAATAATAATAAGAACATTTTATTATTGTTATTTTTCTTTTCTAATAATTTTGTTTTACACAATGCTTGTCAAACATTTCTTTGATTGTCTGGTTGTGATGTCAAGAATTATGCTATGGACACTCGACCTGTCTTACTCAACCAATCGATACCACGTAGATGAGTAATAATCTAACTGTGAGCAACCCGCGAAACATATTTTCAAGTGTTGATCTGCAGAGATTTCAAGTTTATTTATTTTTTTTTTTTGATTACAGCGTATTTTTTTGGTACAGGTATGGACTTTTCAGCATGTGATATCGGTAGCCCAAATTTTCCAGGCCGACCGTAGATATCACGTGTGCGTCGGCATAGGATTGAACTCCGGACCATGTGCATGATCGGCGAGAGTCCTAACTACTGTTCCACCGACGCACTAACTAACTTCATTTACAGGGTCACAGAAAAACCAAGAGGCACTGGAAAGATATTTCACATGACTTCATGTATTTAGTTTACTTCGAAAATCTAAATTCGCCTGGAAATAATGATTACGCAATATGTTGGATCCTTGATATTTCACCGCATTCTTATCAGTACGCTATAAGCTAATTTAGATTAAAATATCTGTGTAATTCCTCGTAAGTCGTTCAGTGAGGTAGTCGGTTTCAGAGGAAAAAAAGATGTGTTGTATGACATTATCAATATAAAAGCTTGTTCAAGAGCGTCAATATTAGCACAATAGGTAAAGAAGACAAAAGTTGAGTTGTTACCACAACAACCGAAATATAAGATCGAAATAAAAGTTTAAAATACTGAAAACAGAATGCGTTTACCAAAGTGATTGGTTCTTAATCGCAGACCTTTTCTGAATATCATGACTTCTAAAAGGCGCGAAATACAGAAGAATTATATTATTTATTGGCTATGTTGAATGCTCAGCGTTTCAAGGGCTACTCGAATCTCTGGACTACCTAAATTTCCATCCAAGACAGTGCATCTTACTTTCTTTAGCTCTTGTTGTTTTAACAATGTAGTTGTATCCGCGGGTCTCCAAATTCATTTAATTAATATTCCCTTGGGTTCCGAGTGGAACATGGGGCTTCAACAACACATCTGCCCTCTGTTCTAGTTTTCCAGCCGGTCCCAAGTCCGAGTAAAGAGGGAGGGTTGGGCATGGGGCTAGCGACTCTAAACTACAAAAGCTATCAAGTTTCTAAAGAAACTTCAACGCACAAGAAATATATTAAAAATACAAATTCTCCAAATATACTCGTGCGCATTTTGAATTGGTTCGCAGCCTACCGTTGAGCATTTCTGTGCGACCAATGAAAATTCCCGTAGTGGATAATTTTATTCTTCAGATCTAATATCACTGTGTCACATGACGTACTGGAGGTGGCTGTTTTTTCTTGAAACTCCTGGATGAAGAGTTAATATTATGTAATAAACTACGCTGAAAATCATGCATAATAAAGCTATTGTTATTATTATTAAATAGAACTTGTAACACTAAGTGGGTTTCCGTTATACTCAGGTTTTTGTAATATATTCAATAAAGCGCTCGTCAACGTAAGTACACAAAAGTTGGTGAACACAACCTACAGGCGACTTATTAAAGTTTTTGTATCATTAGGCAACGTGTCCTATTGGTGGGCAGTTGTTCTCTGGGAAACTCACCAGTGGATGCAACTTTCGACGACTGATTAATACACCTTACGATTGGAATACCTAAAACCACCGTCTTTAGACACCTCTGGAGTCATTCCATCAGGTTCAGGTGCTTTACCTCATTCCAGTTTAGAGAGTCTTTGTAATTGATCTGAATATGAACATAAATAGTGTTCGAAGGGCATCCAGTAAATAATACTGTTTCGATGTGTGACATATCTAATAAACAAGTTAATATGGAACTTTTCAACCTCAGTTACAGATAGAGGACCCATATCTACAACTCATCCAAGTGTTTTGGATGCTGGGCAAGTTGAGTGGCTATAGACCAGTCAAATTACTCCTCAAATGTCCCATCCTACCTTCCAGTCGTCCCAAGAGCTAATCAGGGCACCACTTTCCTCAGAGGTCGTTTCACCTAGCATCTACCTTTTGTCACTATTTTCTTGATGTCTGAATAGTTGTCTGGTGTTACCTATCGCCGATGTTTTTTGCATCTCTTGTCACCCACCACTGTTCACGGTTGTTGCGATGACTTCTTGTCAGTTTGTGTTTGAGCAACTTTCTCTCGATCATATTCAAGGCCCCTGGATTAAGCTTTCGCATATCTATCAGTTCGTAAAAAAGGAATTAGCGGAAATCCACTGGCTTTTACTCAACTTTGGAGTCAGGTTATTAGAAGCCTTTACAGCTGTATGTACAGACAACTGGATACTGTACCAGGCTTCCTTACGATGAGTCTTGTTGTCAATCTTAGATACATGTTTAGCTATTTTTTCCTTAACTCGGGACTCAATGTCCCGATCAAGTTGGGGGCGTAACGGCCAGATTGCCATCTGTTTCCTACGTCCATTCAATCCCAAGCATATACATGTACGGAGTCTATGCACGTGTCCTATTAGTAGCGGCAGCTTCCTACCGACCGTTGCCAACGATAACTTATCGCTACGTGGTCCGTCGTTGATTTGACGATGGGGGTCGCCAGGTTAGGTAATATCCCTCTTTGTGCTTAAATTTAGTGATGGCCAAGTTATCTGGACAGAACTGTAAAATGTGATCACCGTTGTCTGTTCGTGGACAAGGAACTAAGACGCCACCAGCATACTTCTCAAAATGACACAAAATTCCTGCTTAGGCACTGAAGTCACCTGTTAAAACGATGATATCTGAACAGTTTGCTTTTATCAGCTGACTAGATTGCTTTTGATAGAAGTCATGCTTTATTTTTTCCGAACTAAAGTCGGTCAAAGCGTAAGCGGAGATTATGAGAAAACATGGTTGGGTAACGCAGTCCCTCCTTCTAACAGATCCGCACAGACGGATAGCACACATGCGACTACCCACTGGGATTCAATGGAGTAGGGATTTTCATGTCCTAACACTCATTGTTATCCCTATACCTGCGAGTCCTCGCAAACTAGCCATTACATCCCTGTTCCTAAGCAATACGACTTTCCCCACAAACTCTCAGCATAGAGTAGACATCTTACACTATGCCGGTAACTGCTTTTAGTTTAGTCGCTAACCTGACAACCTATCTGGCATGGTAGGACGTCTAGGAACATTAGTTCCAGCCAGTGTAGCTCATTGGATCGTGGCGATATACATACCCGACCATCACGTCAAAATACCCGCTATCTGTTTGGAATGGCAGCAGTGTTTTTTTTGCAGAACTATGGTTAACTAATCTAGGCCTTCAATTTCGAACCTCGCTTCATTTATTGAACTTTGAGCAGCCACTTACTACTGTCACCTTTTACATAAACGGTATGCTTCATTGCCAAAAGCTGCCAAGTGTAAATAACCCTTAATTACAACTTCATTCATAAAAACTATCTACAAACTACTTACTGATACACGTTGGATGAAAGTATCTTAGAATACACTCCCAGAAAAGTGATCGACATGCTACATATGTAAAAAAGATTTTGAAGTCGTCAAATCTTCAGTAGTCTGCTATTTGATCACTGATCACCGGACAAAAGCCATTTAGTCAGTCGCACATCAGACAGAGCAAAATTACGCCTATATATTCTGACCGGCACACAAGCCACATCTACTACTTCCTTTTACCTTTCAAGAGAAAAAGGTTGAATAAAAGCTTCGATGGTGCATTTCAAGCCACTACCGTATATGTGAATTGGAACGAGAGAATTTTCACATTTTCTATAACACGATATGATTGACAGTGATTGGGCCATAGTTTAGACTACAAAGCGGACCTAGAGACTACAGCAGACATGCTGACTCTATTATTGCAAAAGTTCTGGAAGGAAGGAAAGGTGGCTACTGAATGGAGGAAAGGTTACCTCGTGAAACTACCAAAGAAGGGCGACTTAGGACTCTGCAAGAACTGGCGAGGAATCATGCTCCTGTCGACGCCAAGTAAAATCCTGAGTCGCACCATCCTGGAGAGATTAAAGAACGCACTGGAGACAGAACTCTGACCAGAACAAGCTGGATTCAGGAAAGGCAAATCATGTTCCGACCAAATTGCAACTACGCATCATCATCACACAACAAAGCATGGAATGGCAATCAAACCTCTACCTCAAATTTATACACTTCGAGAAGGCCTTCGACAAACAGCGGTGACCGTGAAGTAATTTGGAAATTACTCGAGTACTATGACGTACCCCAAATATTCATCAACCTTATTCAACAGCTGTATGACAACGGCACATGTCAACTGATCCACAACGGAAAACTCAGCAAGGCGTTTGGAGTAAACACAGGAGTCAGACAAGGGTGCTTATTATCACTGGCGCTGATATTCTTAATTGTGGTGGACTGGATTATGCGTCAGACAGTGGGAAACAAGAAGACAGGAATATCCTGGACCGACGTGAAGAACCTAGAAAACCTGGATTTCAAGCGCGGATGATTTGTGTTTGATGTCACACAAAATCGAAGACTTACAAGCGAAAACCGACAAACTGGTCGAAGAAGCAGCCGGCGAAGACAGGACTCCAAGTGAAAATAGACAAGATGGAGGTTATGAAAATAACCAACCAACCAACAATAGCAACATCCAGCGCCAGTCACCAACAACGGGAGGGATTTGAAAGAGGTCACTTCATTCACTTATCTGGGGAGCATTGTCTTACCTACAGGAAGTCGGAACGGACGGGGATGTCAAATCGAGAAGGCGAGAAACACATTAATAATAATAATAATAATTTTTCCTTTACGTTCCCAGTGGAACATAGGGCTCCAAGCTAGTGGCTTGAAGTTTCTGTAGCAGTGTTTAATTTTTACAGGATGGGGTTGCTAGCCTCATGCCCTACCTTTCCTCTTTACCAGCATTATTTCTGGCTCAGTGAGGTAAAGGAGTGCGCCGGCCGGGGATCGAACCCCGGACCATGTGAATGGTCGGCGAGCGTGCTAACCGCTATGCCACCGACGCAACACATTTGTCAACCTGAAATCAATCTGGAAATCTTCGTCACTCAGCATCAACAACAAAATCCAGTCGGATTTTCAATACAAACGTCAAGTCAGTCAGCTCTTCCATACGGATCAGAAACTTGGCGGGTGGGTCACAAAGAATATTTCCAAAAGGCTGCAGACCTTTATTAACAACTGTCTTCGCTGGCTCTATACTGAAGATCAGATGGCCGGAAAGAATCACCAACAAGGAACTATGGGCACAAACAAACAAAAACAAGAACCAATCGCCAACCAACAAATATGCAGGAGAAAGTGGAGATGGATCGAACACTCGCTGAGGAGGCCGCCGGTGGGCGACATCGCGCGTCAGGCCATTGCTCGAGTGGAACCTGAAAGGGAAGCGGCGTGTGGGACGTCACTGCAAGGGTGACATGGAGGAGATCGTGTGAAGAGGAGTTGAAAGAGTATGGACTAACATAGATGCAGGTGAAAAAGTACAGCAGAACACAGAAGCAAATGGAGACGTGCAGTTGAAGCCTTATGTTGCACTAGGAACCCAAGTGAGCAATAATAATAATAAATAATTAGACTACAAACCCTTCACACCAATGCCTTCAAAAGCAATCATAAGATATGCAAGTGGTTGAAAAAACTGCCATTTTCTTATTTTATAGAAAGTATGAAGGGATTGTCATCAGTGAGACTAACCTTATTTAAAAATGTCATCCTTAAAGTGGTAATGCAGTGTAACATATTAATTATCAAAACAATTTTCACAAACTTTTTTCAGCTAGATGATAAAAATTCCATCTTATCTAAGTTTGTTTTCCAGAGTTATAACGAAGCAAATAATCATAATGATAATAATAATAATGTAACATGCCTAGAGAAATTATGCAGTTAGTGAGTTAGTTAAGTGCAGCAGATTATCGAGAGAAAACATACACACATGTAATGCAAAGCTGTCATCATCATCGTCGTCACTCCTAGAAGAAGAATAACACGGAAGGCAACTTCATGTTTAGACGTCAACCAACTGATGAATAACAAAGATAACAACAAAAAAAAAGAAAACCAAATGTGATTTTCACTCAGGAGAAATAATTTTAAAGCCAGTAGTTCATGGGAAATGCACAGCATTTATGTATGATAAACACACGATCAACTAATAGCAAAAATAGGACAAATAGAGAAGTGGAGAAATGAATGTAGAGACGAAAAAAGAAAGATTACATGCTGGAAATTGTGAATACAAGGAATAAATAAATAAATAAGTACTCAGCTAACTTGATCAGATAATACTTGCTATTTAATCAGTACATGCACACATATATATGCGCGAATGTTTAAACGTCATTTCTGTTTATCAAGACACAAGTGTTTTATATTTGCAAAAAACCAAGGCAAAGAGAGGAGAGATAGATATACAACACGACAGAGTACAAAAGCTTTTTGTTTTGCAACACGCCTGAATATTACAAAATATAACAGTAGTTAGGGTGGCGGGGGGCGAAAGACAAAATAAAACTGTAAAGATTTACACAATTAAAGTATTCACACGGCTGAAAATTCGCCCAGGATACACAATAATCTCCACCGTACGAGAAAGCAACAAAAATTGTTTAAAATTACTTAATTATTAACGTCACAGGTTTCATGAAAGAGAAAAAACTATATATTGTGAAGGGCGATTTTTGAAAAAATTCAAAACCTGAAACACCGAGGTCGATTATTAAATGAAAATATAAAAAGGACATGTGTGTGGGGTAGCGGATGGACAGGGTCCGTATATATATATATATATATATATATGCGAAAGATTAGCTTTATAAATTGGTGAAAAAGAATTCAAAAAATATCAGTACAATATAATTTTATATAACAATTCTTGAGATAATTTTCACTTATCCATTATTCCCTTATTATAAAATTATAAATCACAAACGAATACTGTACAAAAGTGTGTGTTAACTGTGTACTTATATATGCATGTATATATATATATATATATATATATATATATATATATATATATATATGGCGGACGGAAGAGGGAAGGAGAGAAACAGAACTAACAACTGGCGAAAGTGGCGCAATCCCAACATAATACAGCACTGATTGAGTGCACATACAGACAGAAAAGATGCTAAAAGCAGTTGAAAATGAAGGGCATAGTGAAAAGAGAAGATAAGACAGAGAAAAGGGCACTCAATCACACGTTACACTGATATGACAACAGCTGAACAATTGTAATTCTTCCACATCCACGCACATATATATCTACACATACACACACAAAAGCATATTAAAAACTAATAAAAGGCGGAAAAAAGGTAGAACAGAAAAGGAAGAAGAAGTTAGGGTTACATCATTGATACATTGTTAAAAGGTAAAAAGGTATCCACAAGGAGAAAAATACACAAATGTGTGAAAACCATACACACTTCATATTCTAATACAAAAAACTGTTAGTACATTTTATCATTTGTGTTATAATAACATGCAACGGACTTTCTTACGGTCACTTTTTGATGATGTTAGTGGAGGCGGAGGTGGTTGTCGTCTGAAACAAAAACAATAAGCATAGAGACTCATAAGTTTTGTAACAGTGAAAACACTGGTCAGTTGCCTAGCTACAGTCATAATGAACAAACGTACATTCATTCAGTTTCACTCCTTATATGACCCAAACCATAGTCGAAGACATCATAGATTGATGGATGCCAGATTTAGTTTAACCGGCGCTAACTCTTTTCCAAACTAATACTTAGCTAACTTTGGTAAACCGGGAAGCCGATGACTCAAAGTATGTGTATCACTTGTCCTAGCCATCCGAATCGATGCGGCTTCACCTCATCCAATTGACTTATCCTCCTTACTTAACACCCTTTTTACCTTACCTCAACATCACTTATCCCATTATAACACTTAACACAGGAGATAGAATGCAAGCATGTCTGTCTGTTCTCGACATGGAACTTTGTACAAATGTGCGGCACTTCAAGTCGCCACACTCCATGTAGCACACAAATCAAGAGAAGAAAGAAGAAATGCATAATGGAGACAGTAAACAGAGGTGTGAGACAGAGGAATAGTAATAACGAAGAACAATATAGTTTCATTGGAAATCATACGTCACAAGGAGTGGATGCATCTGCGCCACTGAGGACGATTTTGAGCCATATCACCAATTGTTTCCAACCATTTGTTTTTACCGTCCCGAGGACCCCAACCAGGAAGTCTACACCTTCCTATGTGACTGACTGGCTCAAACTAACTGTTGTGGATTTCATTGACTGGTGCCATGTTTTGGTTTGACCGCCGCTAACTCTTTTCCACCCTGACTTTATGTCAACTAACATTGCCCGTCAGTCGTGGAAGGCGATGACTAGGCATACGTAACACATGTCCCAACCATTTCAGTCTTTGTAACTTCACAACTTCGTCGATTGATTTCCCCTGCTTACCTAGAACTCGACGCCTAACCTCAATATTGCTCTCCTTATTATGCCACTTCACACGGGAGATAGAACGCAGGCACCTGTGATCAAAGACAGCTAATCTTTTCATGTCTTCCACTCTCAGTGGCCAGGTTTCACAGTCATAAAGGAAGACGGGGCGGACTGATGAGCAGTACATACGCCTTTTGGTCGATAGCCGGATATGTCGTCTACACCAGAGACGGCATAAACTGGCATATGCGAAACTAGCCCTCCGTATCCGTGCTGAAATTTCGTCAGAGATGAAGCATTTGGTCAGACATACCTGGTCTCTTTCCATTTCCAACGGCTATAACTTATCACCAGAGCGCATTGCTGAACAGTACACATGTCTTTCGGTTGACAATTGGATATCATGTTTACGCGAGAGATGACGTATGTTAGCAAATGCTGAATAAGCTCTTTGTCTCTGTGCTAGGACTTCGTCAGTAATCAGTATATTTGAACTGATACAATCGCCCAAATACATGAGGCGGTCATCACGCTCATATATATATATATATACTCTAGAATACCAACCTATTCGACGTATGCATTAAGTAATTACGATCGTCATTAGTTATTCGTTAGTGAGTGTGATGTATGAAACTGAAAAAACAGAAAATAATTGTAGTACACAAAAGTAACAAATACAAATGAAGACGAGTGGAAACTTTATACACTCAGTATCACATGTCTTCTTTTCTTCTGCCTTCTCTTTTATTTATGAAAAAAAGAAAAAGATGATCGAAAATCATTATTTGAACATCATTTGGTGCTTGTATTCTTTTGTTATTATTATTTTTTCGATTACAGCTTGATTCCACACCGTAGTTTTGGTACAAGTATGAAATTTTCAGCATGTGATATCGGTAGCCCAAATTTTGCAGGCCACTAACTTTGCAAGCACACTTTTCTTAGGCTTTTTGCTAAGGTGGATTAGCGATCGTCCCCGTGTTACTATGATGTACTTCTCTGTCATTTATATGCAAATTTAGGTGATTGGAGGTAATCGGCAGGAAGCCTTGGAGCCAAGTTTCGTGCTTGTTGGCTCTTGTCAGTAGGGTGTATCCACAACCCTGAAGAAATTCATGTCCCATCCAAAATTCGAATGCATGTAACCTGATTTTGCAGTCCGAGACGTTACTATATTGGAAGCTTAACTGACAGAATTCAGTCTGCACCAAATAAAGGACTAGATGTATTACATTGGTTGCTATTATTCATTTTACTCCTTTACAATCCTATTGGAACACAGGGCTCCAAGCTAGATCTTGGAAGTTTCGGTAGCAGTAGGTTTTTTACTTTTACAGGTTGGGTTTGCTAGTCTCACACCCAACCTTCCCTCTTAACTGGTCTTATTATCGGTTTATCGAGGTAAAGGAGTGCATCGGTCGGGGATCGAGTCGTGGACCACATGCATGGTTGGCGAACATCCTACTGCTGAACCATTGATGCACTACTTACTGACTAGTACCCGGTCAAAAGTACGTATGAATTTAAAGTGCATTTAGATGAGTACATAACCACGTCCATTTAAAAAGAATTACAAGTAGTTATACATACAAAACTAGGTTGAATGTCTACAAAATTTCAAGCACGGGTATATGAAAAAGCTCTAGGTTTTATTGGACGTTATCCCGACACCATTGATCTGATCGAGTTTTGCATATATTGATTTTTTGAGTAAACCAACTTCACTCTAGCCATATGCCTTTCTTTCACTAATAATTTTACGTATGTCCGTTTCTTTTACACACTCATTTGTTTCTTAATTAAGACGCTACATTGGTTGTCACTTGTTGAATCTCTTACAGTCTACACAGTTAGTTACAAATAGATAGTCACGATATTTCATTACTTGCCATTTAGTTAAAACTCAATTACCACACCTGGTTCTGTTCTATAAAAATATTGATTTCCTTCATGTCTTGAATACTCTGAAGCAGATGTAATTAGCTCTTAACAGAAACTGATGTCTGTATACGTATATGCTGTTAAAGTGGGAAATATTTTTCAAGTTGGGTGGATGTCGAGGTAATTTAGTGCGGACAAGTAATAATGAAGCAATAGGTAAAAACTCCGCAATGAAAACACGATATTTACACTAAATAAGCACAATCGAGATAAGGGCACTTGAATACAGACGCTCTTCTGAACACCTTGAGCAGCAATCTTCGTATGTTTGGCATGCGATTCGCCCCTGGAAAATGCAAGATGCTGCTACAGGACTGGACTACGTCAACTCCTAGCTTAGTGATAGGGAGTGAAGTGATAGAACATGTTGACCACTTCACCTAATTGGGAAGTTGTATTAGCACCAACAGACTGATTGGCGACGAAATCTCAGCACGGATCCAAAAAGCTCGAGCTGCTTTCGCTGACTTACACCATCCGGCTATCAACCAAGGAACGTGTGTACTGCTCATCAGTTCGCTCCGCCCTTCTCTATGGCTCTGAAACATGGACAATACGAGTTGAAGACATGAAAAGGTTGACTGTTTTTGATCATAGATGTCTACGATCTCTTTCTCACGTTAGCTGGTATAATAAGGTAAGTAATGTTGACGTTAGGCGTAGAGTGTTGGGCAAAGAGGGAAAATCAATCGACGAGGCTATAAAGTTAAATAGATTGAGATGGCTAGGTCACGTGGTGCGCATGCCTAACCATCGCCTCCCCCGACGGGCATTACTAGCTGATATAGGTGCAGGTTGGAAAAGGGCAAGTGGTGGCCAAACAAAAACATGGCATCAGTCCATGAAATCCTTGACAGTTAAACTGAGTCAGTCAGGGAGATGCAGACTTCCGGGTTGGGGCCCTCGGGACTCTAGGAATCAATGGCTGGAGACAATAGGTGACATGGCTCAAAATCGTTGTCAATGGCCAGCGCAGATGTATTCAGTCTCTGTAATCTTTCATACTCCTTTCTACCATTACCCATTCTGTTTCGCTCTTATACCTGTCAAACTCTATTGATTCTCTTCACTCATTTTCTTGTCCACCTTCGTGTGGTATTTGGAACGTGGCAACTCGAAGTGCTGCACTTCTGTGCCAAGTTCTATATTGAATCCAGACAGACAGATACGCCTTGTTGACAAATGCCAACCAGCACGAGACCTAGAGGTCCAAGGTTTCCTGTCGACTGCCTTACTAATAGTAATATATGGAGAGCCGTTCATAGACACAAAAATATCAAATAGCAAAGAGACAGATTTGATGTCACAACGAGGAAATGAAGCAGTATTGCAGCGAAACATGGGAGACATGACAAAAAAAGGTAGCACACTAGGAAAGATGTGTGCGTATATCGAATTGCAAATATACACTTTTTTTACCAACCAATCTTGTTTCCTGTCATTACACTATCATATTTGAATCAACCACTACTTTGAATAAGATGAATGAATATTTTAACCTACCTAATAATTCTCACCATGTCGTGAAACATTTTGTCTACATTGACTGGGGGATCTTTTGCGCTAGTCTCAATATAAGGGACCTAAAATAAAATAAAAAATTTTTTAACAAAAAAGTGGAAAAATGATTAAGCCTGACGTTACTGAAACCGAACATAATTTAGTACAAAAAGGGTGAGAAAATCTTAGTTCATAAATAAATAAAAAATTTCACAGAAAATTTTTTAGTTTTCCTTCCTTTTGAAGTACAACAGAAACACATTTTATAGAATGAATTGAACTCATTTCTTTTATATTGTATGAAATTATTCGCATTCCACAATGAATGACATCGGAAAATAACAGATAGTGTACACCATTTTTGAAATTTAAATGAGTATATCAAAGATTTACAAGGTATGAAATCGAATGAATTCACTTCACCATATAATGTTGTTTGTTTTCTTGGCTTTAATAAAATCTCCTAAAACCTAAAAATCTAGGCTAATAATAAAAATATACTGTCAACAGATTAGAAGACGATAAGGCTTTACACGATTATTTAACATCTAAACCATGCACACTTCTGACGTGAATAATGAATTCTCCTATTAGTTTTGTTTTTATTCCTTCATGGCTTCGAGCTAAAGGCTTGAAGTTTCTGTAGCAGTGGTGTTTATTTTTAAAGGATGGGTTTGCTAGCCTCAGGCCCAACCTTTCCTCTTACCAGCTTTTATTACTGGCTTGGCGAGGTAAAGGAGTGCCTGATCGGTCGAGGATCGAACCCCGGACCATGTGCATGGTCGGTGAGCGTCCTAACCGCTATGCCACCGACGCACTCTCCGACTGGTGAATAACATGAATAATCATGGTAGTAAATAAATTTTCTTAAATCAAAAACCATGAACAACATATATTAAAATATGGGTAAGAGTAATATAACCAGTATCATTGAGTGAAAGTAATTGGGAATCACTCACACCAGTCGGTAATGCATATACGGAACTGAATTGAGTTATCAACACAGAACTTGGAATAAAAGAGTAGCATCAGCTCAAAGTTGTTACACTCCATAGTATTCCCGTTAGTCAGATGTAAACACCAGACGACCGTCAAATTAATTTGAGGTCTAACTCATACGCAGTATTGTCCCATACCCTCCTATAATGGACATTTGGCACGGATGTTGGTAGGCAGTCTCGGGTATTATACAGGTCAGATGGATTATACTAATGCAGTTCTGTTCTTTACAATTATTATTTTATTTTATTTAAACGCAGAAAAAACTTGGTACAATATGGCACCAAGAAAGATGCGCTACACAATAATAGTAAAACAACATAGATCAAAAGTAATATATATATATATATATATATATATATATATATATAAGTAGAGAACGGATAAAGAATTTCATCTGGAAGGAAAACAGTCATGCTTAACAAGTTCAAACAGTATTCGTTAACTATCATCAGAAAGGGAAGAAAGAAGGAAATTGCAACACGTTCGCCATTGATTACGATTCTTGGCCATATCCGATAACGTTTCGAGCAATCGATCCGAGCTATCTCTCGGACCCCAACCAGGGAGTCGTGACACACCAACCGATGCTAATCTGGCACAAAAATCCTTCATCCCACGACGCCACGTCATGGACTGACCACTCCTCCGCCTTTTCCATCCCGTCCCAGGGCTAGCGAAGAGAGACCTGTACGGAAGACTTTGGGATGACATTCACAGCAAATGGCCAAGCCACCGGAGCCGGCGTTTTCAGATGACGACACTCAATGAATGGTGATCACTACTGTGTTCAAACACACGCCGCCGAACCACAGAGTTACTCACGCGATGGTGCCATCGAACGCAAGCAATCCTGTGGAGACAGCGAGGGTCGGACACGCAGTCACCACACACCCTCAGCTCAGAGAGGCTAGGTTTCACAAGCGTAGAGCGGGACAGCCAGGCTAACGTCGCGATGGTGCCTTCATGATAAGGTTGGAAATCTCATTCATCACCCCTCCGCCAGTACTCACACAACTACCCAGATACACGAACTTATCGACAACTTTAAGCGGTTCACCTTCAAGAGTGACTGCAGGTACAGACTCCTGCCAATCTTGTAACAGTACTTTGCACTTAGACGGCGCAAAGCACATACCATACTTACAGACACTGATCGACAACTGATTAAGTGCGAGATTTGGGCAGCCTACATGCTATCACACAATAAGACGATATCGTCCGCATACTCGAGGTCGAAAAGTCTATCTCCAGGTAGAGCAGATCTACACCACCTTCATGCACATCCTTCAGAGCTGACTCCAGAATGTCATCGATGGCAAAGTTAAAGAGAAATGGAGAGATTGGGCAAACCTGTCTAATCACACTGTTGGTTGGGAACAGTGGTGATAGTTGGTTGTATACCCTCACTCTACCCGAGGTGTTTCTGTATAGGGCTTTCAAGATGCTAACAAATTTCTCAGGTACACCTCTCTTTAACAGACAGTTTCAGAGCACAGTTCTGTCCAACGAATCGAAGGCAGCCCTAATATCAAGAAACACAACGATCGTTGGCCTGCAATACGTGTGGCGGTGTTCCAACATTTGACGAAGGGTGAGCACATGACCAATGCATCCACGACCTGAACGAAACCCAGCCTGCTCTTCGCGAATCAATGCCTCACGTATTTTGCACAGTCTGCGAAGCAAGACAGCAGCCAATATTTTAGACGCGACTGGTAGCAGACTGATGCCCCTATGATTGTCACACGAATTACGTAGACCCTTTTTAAAGATGGGGACGATAATGGCTTCGTTCCACATTGATGGTACACTTTCAGTCTCCCATACCTTCCTGAACAACCCAGTTAGAGCCATTGTGAGAGTCTCGCCACCATCTTTAAAAAGAGCCGGGGGTAGAGTCACGAAAATGGTGTCCAGTGCCTGTATGTACAGTACACATAAGTGCAATAAACAGATGCAATATTGACAGCACTTTGTACCCGTACTGTGAAAAACCCACCCCTTCAGAAACATCGAAGCAAAGAACACATAAAAATTATTCTCCGTTTGAATCGGAGATGACAAATGACTCCCGCAAGTAGCAGCCTTCGGCAAAACAGTCAGTTGATGTGTCTTCAACAGATGACGGTGAAAGTAAGCATAAGGCTGCATGATATCCTTATAAAGTTTTATGCTGGTATGGCTGCTAAAGCCGCAGAAGAAATGACAAGATGTTAGTTGTTAGTGTTAATAATCCGTAAGAAAAGATGGAATGAAAGTTGATTCTCTAGATTGTTAAGTATAGTTGATAATCCGTTCCGATCACCCGGAAAACAACCGCGAACACACCAACTGAGTGACCATTATGATCTTATCAACAGCATCCAAGGCAATCACGCAGTGGGAGCCAATCTCCTCCAGGGTCATGACAGCAAAATTTAGCACCCAAACAAGGAAAGCTACAATTATACAGTGCCGCACACCCACAAACAAAACAGGGCAGGAGAAAGATGACTTCTACAAGCAACTGGAGGTATTAATGGACAAAACCTCAGATGGCAACATCAAAGGTCATTCTCTCTTGATCTACTTGTACAGTAAGTGATATGGTTAGTGATACCTATAACGGCAGTAGAGAAAACGGAAACAGGCTGCAAAGCTGTTAGTGACCAAGGTTTCACCCGATGGATACACCAAAATCCAGACAGGCTTCACATCCATCTTCAAAGAGTGGGAATGCAGCCTACTGGACACAAAATCGAGAAAAGTAGCAGATATAGCTTCACATTACTGTTTATTGCAAGAAACCTTTAACATCAACTTGAAAACCTCCAAAGAGACTGGAGATAAACTGAAATTCAGCACTCAGAAACTGAAGGAGAAAACTTTAAAGTACACTTTCACTGGGTGCGTCAGTCGGTCTGTCTGTCTGTTTTCGACATGGAACTTTGCACAAATGTGCGGCACTTCAAGTCGCCACACTCCATGTAGCACACAAATCAAGAGAAGAAAGAAGAAATGCATAATGGAGACAGTAAACAGAGGTGTGAGACAGAGGAATAGTAATAACGAAGAACAATATAGTTTCATTGGAAATCATACGTCACAAGGAGTGGATGCATCTGCGCCACTGAGGACGATTTTGAGCCATATCACCAATTGTTTCCAACCATTTGTTTTTACCGTCCCGAGGACCCCAACCAGGAAGTCTACACCTTCCTATGTGACTGACTGGCTCAAACTAACTGTTGTGGATTTCATTGACTGGTGCCATGTTTTGGTTTGACCGCCGCTAACTCTTTTCCACCCTGACTTTATGTCAACTAACATTGCCCGTCAGTCGTGGAAGGCGATGACTAGGCATACGTAACACATGTCCCAACCATTTCAGTCTTTGTAACTTCACAACTTCGTCGATTGATTTCCCCTGCTTACCTAGAACTCGACGCCTAACCTCAATATTGCTCTCCTTATTATGCCACTTCACACGGGAGATAGAACGCAGGCACCTGTGATCAAAGACAGCTAATCTTTTCATGTCTTCCACTCTCAGTGGCCAGGTTTCACAGTCATAAAGGAAGACGGGGCGGACTGATGAGCAGTACATACGCCTTTTGGTCGATAGCCGGATATGTCGTCTACACCAGAGACGGCATAAACTGGCATATGCGAAACTAGCCCTCCGTATTCGTGCTGAGATTTCGTCAGAGATCAGCTTGTTGGGGCTGATGGTACTTCCCAAATAAGAGAAGCGGTAAACATGCTCTACAACTTCACTCCCTATTTTAAACGAGGAGTCGCTGTAGTGCAGTCGGGGCCACAGCGGTAGAATGCTCGCCGACCAGGTATGTGGTTCGGGGTTCGATCTCCAGTCGGGGCACTTCTTTATCTCGCTAAACCACTAATAAGACTGGTAAAGAGGGGAGGTTGGGCATGGAGCTAGCAACCCTATCCCGTAAAAATAAATACCACTGCTACCGAAACTTCAAGTGTCTAGCTTGAAGCCTTATGTCTCACTGGAAACGTAAATGAATAAAAAAATACTTTCACAGATGTCATCAATAAAAAGTTGGAGGCATTAATCAACATTATATTGGAAAACTGCATGTTAGAACAGTGGAGCATTCTGAAAAAAATGTGAGGGGGAACCCATACAACATTCATTACCAAGAAGAACGGACAAGACAAGGAATGACTCACTAAACACACCTGGGAGCTGATGGAAAAGAGAAGGATGGTGAAGCAGAATATCAACCTGTGCAGAGTTGAACAACGAAAAGAGAAACTGATTTCACTTCACGGCACAATGGATAAAGAAGTGGAGAAAGGCGCTAGGAAAGACAAAAGACGCTTTGACGATACACTGGAAACTGAAGTGAGACAGACTGTGGGTAAGAGACACCTCACAACATTATATCAGATAATCAGGTTACTATCCAGCAAGACATAAACGCAGATGATCATAGTGAAGGATAGTGAAGGGAATCCAATTACTCAAGTGACGGAACAGAGAAAACGGGCTGAATCAACCGCCACCCCCGTAACTCATCCTCAAATAAAACCAGAAGACCCAGAAGCTACTAGTGAGAACTGACCCTCCGAGAAAAACAGAAGTCTTGAAGGCCATAAAGCCATTAAAAGCCGGTAAGACAGCTGGACTAGATGAATTTCCCACAGAAGAACAGGAAACGGATTCAGAGACAGTGGTCATGCACACGATACCACTATGGTGAGGCGAGCAAGATACCCAATGGTTAGAATAAGGGCCACCTTGTCAAACTGCTAGGGTGGGGTGATCTGAACCTAGGCAATAAATGGTGCTGAATCGTGCTTCTGTCTAATCCAAGCAAAATATTAAGCTACATAGTCCTCCAAAGACTAAAAGATTCCCTGGATGGAACACCTCCATTGGGACAGACTAGACTGAGAAGGAACTACTCCTATTCGAATCAACTACATCGCTGCGAATCATTATCAAACATAGAATGAAGGTCAACTTCTTTACCCCCAACTTCTGAGGCTTTGGAAAGACCATCGACACCGTCAACTGCGAAGTATATTGGTAGCTGACTCGACACTACAGAGTGCCGTAAACCTTTAAAAAGCTCACTGAACAGCTATATTATAATGCCACATACCAAGTTACAACGGGCAGCCCACTGAGATGCCTGTAGTGAAGAGATGAGTATGATAAGGTCGCCTTCTATCAATGACTATCTTCTTGATTGTACCGGACTGGGGAGTGAAAACACGGGTATGCTCTAAACCAACAGAAAGACCTCTGGAAGATTTGGACTTCGTAGATTGTTCATGTCTGATATCGCACAAAGTTGAAGATTTATCAGCGAAAACAAACTGTCTCTGTCTGTCTGTTTTCGACATAGAACTATACACAAACGTGCGGAAGTTCAAGTCGCCACACTCCGTGTAGTACGCGAAGCAGGATAAGAAAGTACAAGAAAAGCATAATAGAAACAGTGAGCAGAGGTGTGAGACAAAGGAGTAATAAAGAAAAACAAAAGTTTCATTGGAGATCATAAGTCACAAGGAGTGGATGCATCTGCACCACTGAGAACGATTTTGAGCCATGTCACCAATTGTTTCCAACCATAGATTTTTACCGTCCCGAGGACCCCAGCCTGGAAGTCTACACCTTCCTACGTGGCTTAGACCAACTGTTGTGGATTTCATTGACTGGTGCCATGTGCAGATGCTTTATGCTCTCCTCTAACTAATATCCTAAATGCTTCTTTCTCCGAAAACGTTGTACCTGTTCCATGGAAAGACATCAAAATAGTCCCTGTCCCTAAACCTGGCAACAACAAGAACGTAAAGTTCAGACCCATTGCCATCACTTCCCCGTTTCTAAAGCTCATGGAAAAACTAGTACTTCTTAAACTTGAACCCTCCCTTAAAAGCTTCGAAGACCCCAAACAATTTGCCTACAGACAGGGTAGGAGTACTTTAGACGCTGCAGCCGTCTTACACAACAGTATTGTCTCATCATTAGACAAAGGTGCCAAATATGTCCGCTGCACGTTTCTTGACTTCACTTCTGCTTTCGACTCTGTACCTAGATGTCTCTTGCTAAATAAGCTCTCCATGACACAAACCGAGTCCTGGGTCACTAACTGGTTGCATTCCTACTTTTCAAACAGAACGCAGTACACCGTATACAAAGGCGAATCCTCCTCTGCTGTGCTCACTGAAGCTGGTGTCCCCCAAGGGGCTGTACTCTCCCCACTTCTCTTTTCATTCTTTCTACATGACCTACCATCTTCAAATGACATTAACTTTGTCAAATATGCTGATGACCTAACTGTATCTTTACCTGTCAAATGTCAAAGTGACTGCTCTAAACTAAACGGCTTTTTATCAGAAATAAGCCAATGGTCCAAGGAAAACGGTCTCACCTTAAACCCCCCCAAATGCCAAACAGTTAATTTCACCTTTAGGCACAAATCTGACCTAAACAAACTGGTTAGGACTCACGAGATGTGCAACGTAGATGGCACTGAAATTGAAACCAAGTCGGAAGTTAAATACCTAGGCGTCACTCTATCTTCTGATCTTTCCTGGTCGTCTCATATCTTGACGATTTCCAAGAAAATATTCCGTCTTACCTTCTACATCAAGAAGTTAAGACATTCTGGTATAACCCAACCCTTACTCCTACAATTTGTTAACTTCCGTATTCTGCCTATTATTCTCTATTGTTCCCCCTTAGTCTTTCCTGGGCTATTGAAGAAAGACTATACCTTATTACGTAGGATGTTAAAGGTTGTCAGCAGGGTAAGCAGTTTGCCACTTAGCCAGCTTGTTAATATTCTGGTGGACAGGCACATGGACTCATGTGAAAAATGGGCAAAAACCATTTTATCTGACTCACAACACCCTCTACATTCACAACTCTCCCCATGTATCTCTTCAGGGAAAACCAGAAGCCTATATAGGAAACTATATGCCCGCACTAGCAAGTACAAAAACTCATCCATACCCTACCTAGCTCGAGTTCTGTGCGATAAAGAAAGCGTTAGGCGGGAAACCTTTAACTTATTAAATAGTCAGTAGAACAAATGGATCTCGTCTTTCCAAGTCACATCATTTACAGGTACAACGTTTTCTCTCTACCTTTTTTTTCTCTTTCTGTATTCATTTTTGTTATGTGCTGTTTTGTTTCTCTCTTCCTTACAAACTCTACTTAAAACATTCTTGTTCGTTCTTTCACACTCTGTATACTCGACCATTTTGCTATTGCTTACGCCAGTAAATATGCTAGTAGTATCTACTTTTCTAACACCTTCAAACACTCTGTTTAAATTTTGGCTTTGCTACCGACATGCTAATATGTTGTTGTCAAAACTGACTGAGATAACCTTAATCTATGTAGAACTATATTTATTGTTAATGTACTAACTGGATGCAATATTGTAGTAAAATGCTGAGAATTCCATTTTGTATCACAAGTACTGATTTGGAATAAAGCTTAACTTATCTTATCTTTTGTTTAACCGCCACTAGCTTTTTTCCAGCCTGACCCTATATCCGCTAACATAGCTCGTCGAGGGAGGCGATGGCTTGGCATACGTAACACATGTCCTAACCATTTCAGTCTTTGTAACTTCACGACTTCGTCGATTGATTTCCCCTGCTTACCTAGAACTCGACGCCTAACTTCAATGTTGCTCAACTTATTATGCCACTTCACACGGGAAATAGAGCGCAGGCACCTATGATCAAAGACAGCTAGTCTTTTCATGTCTTCCACTCTCAGTGGCCAGGTCTCACAACCATAGAGGAGGACGGAGCGGACTGATGAGCAGTACACCCACCCTTTGGTCGATAGTCGAACATCTCACAATCCTGAAAACAAACAAGCTGGTAGAGGAAGCAGCAAAGACAGGGATTCCATTGAACATACAGAAAACAGAGGTAATGGAGGTTCCTAAACAACAACAACTGCAGAAATATGAAACGTCACTTAGTTTACTTATCTAGATGGTATTGTTTCAACTACAGATGGTGCGAATGAAGACGCCAAAGGTAGGGACGGAAAAGATATTACTACTCTTAAATAAGGTGAAAATCGACAGCACTTAGCACACAGAATACGATCAGAATTCTCAAGGTTAGTATCAAGTCAATGCTTCTATGTGGTTCATAGACTTGGTGCTCGCGTCACCAAAAGCATTCCCAGAAGACCGCAAACATTTATGAATAAATGACTTAACTGAATACCAGAAATGATAAGTGACAAGCGATTCTCCCAGAAAACTAGCCAACAGCCTGTTATCCAACAAATATAAAAAATTAAGTGGGAATGGACTGAACATATGCTGAGGAGATCATTTGGTGACATCACATACCAGGTGCTCAAGTGGAGGTAACGAGTTGGTTTGAAATCGTGTAATGTAACAAGACAAAACAGGAAATGTGATAATTGCAGCTAATAAAAAAGGATATAAGTGTACCTACTCCAGCCATAGCTTCTTAGCAATATTATTTAGAAATCCTGGCGGCTGCAGGCAGTCAAACGCATACTTTCCAACACAGTTCAAAACAACACCTACTTAATGGATTTATACCATCCTGGTTTTGCCTGACTAAGTCCTAATTCTCTTGACACTATGTTGAGATAAACGGTGAGTAGGAATATTTACTTCAGCTGCACTGACGGTTTATAAACAGAAACTTCAGGAAGAGGTGTAACAGCCCATCATTTTACACTTTTCCGAATTGATATAATCCATTGAATATCATGGCGAATAATACATTTTAATCATAGCAAAACAAACTTATCGAAGGTAAGAAAAAAGGTGGGGGAGAAAATAACTAACCTTCAGATCATCTGCTAGACGTTGTCCTTCTTCTTCTGAAACTTTCCGTTGCTGAACCAAGTCAATTTTGTTGGCAGCCAGTATCATAGGGTAAGAGTCGCAATCTTTACATCGTAAAATTTGTGTGTAAAACCTTCGAACTTCATGAAAACTTTGAGGGTCCGTAACTGAATACACTATAATAAATCCTTGACCTTTCCGCATATACTGTTCTCGCATAGCACTAAATTCCTCTTGACCAGCAGTATCCAATACTACAAAAAAGTAAGGAATTAAAGTTATGATTATCAGTGCCAGCAAACTTTGCAGACGTATGAATGCCTTACCTTTGTCTCGATTACAACACCACATATTACTTGTTTTTAACTTTTCTACGTATTTCATGGCTTTTTTGACTTCCTGCTTATTTTCATTTACCTTGATGTGGTAACTTTAGGTGTGCAGACTGGAAATATTAAGAAAAAAATTACAAGTCTAGGGTTTGTCTATTAACATTCAATATCGACGATGTTTTCAATACACTTTTTCCACTACTACCGACTTCAGACCTATTTACAACGCCTTAAAAACTACTTACAAACTACAAATAGTGAACCAACATTTCTTTAAAGCATATAAATAAGCACTCATTGAATTTATGTATTAGTGCTACACCTGACTTCATATTACCACCAATGCTTTCCTAACTTCTAGTTATTAAAAACCAGTCCCATTACTATTCAGAACACCTCATTCGGTCAAAACTCTACTCTAGACATATTGTATTTTTTACAGAGTGGTGCCTGCTTGGGTGCTGACACATATATGTATGAGATTGAAAATTTTTATTTGCCTGCACTAAAAGAGTAAAAGCATTATACTTGCTTCACCACATAACCCAGGGGACGTCTACTTGAAACGAGTCAGCACGACGTAACTGAACGCACTAAAGCTTTTAAGAGATGGTTCGCACGAAGAATCTTAGAGTAGGTGATGAGCAGTCATAGGGTAAGTCAGAAAGCGCAACCTTTAGGACCCGTAGCACTCAGCTGTTTCGCAGAAAAAAGAAGCTGATATGGTACCTGTCCTTTTTGAATAGCTCACTGCTACTACACACTAACCATAATATGATAGTAAGAACTTACAATTTTACACCCACCCAAAATCTTAGAAACGATGAGATTACCAGGGAGAATAGTTTCAATCTGTACAGCTCGCTGGGTAACTAGGAAATGCATTCGTCGTTCCGAAATGCTACAAGCACAAGGATAACCAAACATTCACAGATTCTTTAAGCCGTACTTGTTCCGCAAGCACATAAAAATCTCTTGAGTAATGCATTTCACTCTCCGTAACTACTCAGACGTTTCATCAGTGTGACAAGCGGTTGACTAACAGAATTAGAACTACTCTCTTGCGCCTAAGTCAAGAATTCGTTGGTCACTACCTCATTAAAAGCAGACAACATCTTACTAAACGAGATTAACGAAATCATTAGGTTTCAGTTCAGACAAATTAGACTATAAAATCTTGAGAGTTAGATATGAAGTGGATCCCAAACATTTTAAAATTGTTCCTAGGGCATTAAAAAACCCTATCATAATTTAGTAATTACCTAAAACGACAATACAATTTATGCAGTCAAATAAGAAATCTCTAGATATACCAGTCGTTTATTGGTTTAAAAAAGCAACTTTCATGAAAACATCTGTGAAACAGTTAAAAATGAATTATAAACATTGCTAGTGGGTAACAAATAATGTGTTAGTCTAATGCAAGTAGAAACCATTCACTACCGAAATCACATATGATGTGGTCTCAAACACTACCAATGAATTAATGGATGGCCAACCGCCAAGCGTGTAGTACACTCTTGTATCATTGAATAATAAACTGTAATATCGACAAGAGCCTGTACTTGCCTATAATTAAGAAAACCTTTGGAACATGTATGCATACTGCTAAGATGATAGCTAATTTTAGCTCTAGATTTACGTTTAGGTTCGCATGAACCCGTCCAGCTTACGTAAACCATCACTGTGATGGTATTTTTGCAAGGTATTAACGTAAAACATGGTGAAGTTAGAGTATCACAACCAAAATCACAGTGGTGTTGAACAATCAATCAGGAAAGTCACATAATCGTTAAGAAATCTACTAAAAAAATGTTAAAAAACAATATTGTCCCTTATGTATTGTAAGCAAGTCTCTCAGTAACTCCAAAGATAGTCTGTAGAGAAACCATTGCATACACGATACCAGTGTTCATCCAGGTGACTGTAGATCTTGGTACAAGGGATTCACTGGTATTCCTGACTGTTCTTTAACTTACCCCTAACCCTACCTACCTAACAGTATAGAATAACTATCTTTATACAATTCGTTCCACCAAATTAATAAAGGACGCATGATTTGATACAGAACGACTTTTCATAGCGTCCCTTAAATCTGATTGATTCTTGACGGTCAACTTTTGACGAATTTTTGACGACTCTGGCTATAATAATTTAACTTTGCCTAAAACGTATAATTCGATAACTTTTTAACTATCCTAGATATCTGACGTTGCATCTATGTGACAACTATTTGCTACAGACATGATGTAAGCTCGTTTAAAATCTAATCACGTGTATCAAACTCAGTACGTTAAATCATCATGAAATGCATATTTTTATGATATGTTAGTGAAGTGACTTCTGTGTTGTAAAGCTTTAAACACAGATAAATATTGCATTATAGTTTTTTCATATAGCCACTAAACTCTAGCCAAAGTACACGGGATGAAATCCGCTCTACTTGCCAAGTTAAGAGCAGATAGTCATTATCATGAAGTGCTACGTATTCTGAATAACATAATTTACCTAATATAGATGTCAGAAATGGATTTTCATCATAATCAGTGATTGTTAGGCGGTAGGTTTATTGTCCCCTACTATAGGGTATGTAGCATGCTAGGTATACCTCAAGAAACTATTTATCTTAAAAATTAAATTCTTTTCCCTCCCTTTTTTCGCATTGTCTAGTCATTTTGCGCCATATATTTTCTCCAAATAATACAACACTAAATAGAACCTACTACTGTGAGAATTGTGTTAATTAAACCGTTACTATATAGTCAAAAAATGTTTCTATTCCTCCCTAAAGACAAGCGATGAACGACTGAGACCAATCAAAAGATTCATGTCTAACTCTATTGATTTAAGTAGTAACTTTACCAAAGCAACAGTCAGCTTTGAGTAAAAATCTATAAATACTTTTAATTGTAGTTGACCAAGATTTGAAATACTGCTCATTCTAGATTGTTTAAAACCTGAAGTCAACGGTTTAACTCTGAGTCTAGATTTCAACGACGGTTATCTCTCTTACTGGTCTTTACGTGATGGATCATATAATTTGATAGGTATTCCGCTTGTCTTTTTTATCTCAGTAACTGAGGTGAGAATCCAGCATCTATCGATTCGGGAGAAACTGTTAGAAATAGACCACTATTTATAGGAGAATAGGTTTGGTGGCAGACCTTCTTAGAGATGAGTGTATTTAACGTATGTGATTTGAGTAGACGTTTAATATGCTGACTCAAAATCAAACTCAAAAGCGTTTCCCAACTTTAAAATATTTCATTCAGCTCAACAGAAAAATACACGCTGAATTTAAGCAGTGATTTTCCATAGGCATGATACAATTCACTTCCACTTAATAGCTGAAGCAGGTGACGAAGTTATGATGAAAATACAACTACAAAGCTAAACATGTAGGACTGTAATGCTTGTGCATAGCAGGAATAAAACAAGTAAGCGTTGCAAAACTCTAATATAATGTAATATTTCATCGCTTATCAATGCAAAACAAGTGTATAAAATATCCATCACAAGGAAAATTAGCCTTTTCCGCTAGCTTTGTGAAGGTCTTTATCGATTAGGTGGTTAGAACATATACGACATAAGGTAAACAAACGTGTTAGTAGGATGCTGGCTGACATAAGATTTAGTTACCATCTGCGAAATGCTGAACGCTTCGACAAACACTTAAAAGCTCTCACGTAGTTTAATTCAGTGTTGTTTCGTTTTAAATTCTGTCGTTTCCATACGGAATGTGTATATGTGGCACTTTTATAATCATGTTTGGGTTGATGTAAATTAATTCCTACAGGTTGAAGCCCTATGTTCCACTAGGAACCCAAGGGAGCAATAATAATAATTCCTACAGGATTTGAAATCTAAAAACTGAGCTAAGGAACACTGAATGCATCCGACACGAAGTGTGAAAAACTGCGTTCAGAAAACACGTAGAATGTCACTTACGGCATCGAATGGAAGAACAGTAAAGATAGATTCTAGTATGCAATATGAGCATAGAAGTCTTATTTTTCTCGATATGTCATTTGATCGAGCAAAAAGTAACATTTATTACTTTAATTTCTACTTCTCTAGATACTTTAAGGAAATACAATCAGACACCCAGTCAGACTTGAAATGTATGAGTTGCCAAACAATTAAAAAACCAGACAATTATGAAAACAAGTAAGACCTGAGACTCACCATCTAAGATACACCATTCGTCATCTATTTCGTCGTTTTGAATATATGAGTCCTCAATCGTGGGATCATGCTCCTCAAGAAACATTCTTTGAAAGTACTAACTACTTAGGGCAGTACTATGCTTCATTACCTGTATTGTCAGTGCAGATTTTCCAACACCTCCATCGCCAACAACCACAATTTTGTAAAACGGCCTACCACAGGTATCTGCAGGTAGCCTTTTAGAAGTCATATGCACAAATAATCCCCAAAACTCTTTTAAGTTAGATAAACTTTTGATCTGAATGTTCGTCACACCATGCAAACATACAATCTTCTTGATCTAACCACAAAATGTTCCAACCCACAAAAACCAGTTTTCGTCCGATCTCCAAAATGGCGGGCAAATGTACAATGCTTGTGTATCACTTTGCACCGCTAAATTTGAATTTATGAGGAAACTGACTGGAATGCTAGAACTCATGCATGGGTTGCATGGTAATTTTAAGCGGTATGTAACCCCTTATTATGCAGAACAAAGATAAGATGTTAAAGTTTCCGCATAGATCGATTACTGTCTCCCAAAATTATGTATACACTGCCTGGGAACGATCGAAGATACACTGAACTTCGTCGGAGTTGTCATTTAAAAGTGACAACATTTCACACATCCAGAACTTAAGTTAATCTCACTAATACTATCCTGAACTCTGGATAATTTCTATCCCTTGCGTATAATATATGGAAGTACTCAGCTCAGTCGAAAACAGGGGTTCTCGCATCGATAATACATGATAAATGCCATGTTTTCTTAATAGTTAGTCAGTGAAACTGAAGTTTAGATGTTTCTACTGTTGTCTAAAAACTCATTTATACACTCACCCACTTTGAGTCTCTTAAATTCTAAACCATTCTTTTACCTTCAAGTTATCTCCAGATTTCTGACTACCTAAATGTGGTAGTTCAGAAGTTCCTATGGTATCTAAGACTGAGAATTATATATTTGGAATTCGTCGGCATAGTGTGGGCAAGTGCAAAGCCCCTGAAACGGATGCAAAACCTTGGGTGTTTTCGGGCCATTTTCCGTTGGCATCAGGTGCGTTGTCTTCTCTTGCCAGTCACATCGTAGATAACCCATCGCTTTTCGGGAATTCACTTCTTAAAAATTATATACCGATGCTCATCCTAGACACTATACTCAGAATGATGCTTCAACACAGAAACCAGTTAATCTATGTATATTTAACCGATATCATAAGAATTTCAGACGTCGATATCACAGTCATCTTAGGAAACCTCAACTAAATGTTCTACCGACATTGTAGCGCACTTAGAAGCCAAACGTTCCTTGTTTATTATCCTGTACGTTCCAGCAGTTACGACTCCTGTCATCAATGAACAAAGAGACACAGTCGCTTCATTCGTTTTCTCAGTAGGAGAAAAAGGCTGTGGCTTTTTATCTGGGCTGGTGTAGCAGAACAAACCCTCACAAAGTATCTGCTGAAAAATCCTTTCGCATTACTTTTAGCTTTAGTTGGTTGATGGTGACTAGAAGTAGAATACAGAAGGCACATTTCGTCCTGTTTGGAACTCGTCATCTAAATGTACTGGCATTTCTCAGTGAGTGATGATGTTCCCACCGAAGCATCTGTACAAGAAGCCGACATGTCAACTTGAGACCGAGCACTTCGGTCCAATCGATCAACGGGAAAATCAGAAAACAAATACTTTTAGCTGTTCAGGTATTTCTAGCAATTCATGCAGGTCTCGTCGTTTCCCTTGGTCTGTGTGTCGTCATACTGACATTCGCATGCTATCTTTTTATTAATTCTCAGAGTTTTCCTGGCTCTTCCCTGACTTTTGTTCTCAGTGCTTCACACCACTGTTAATGGACTGCCAACAACACCGTCATTTATTTTTGTCGGAGATTTGTCTTAATGAACTCAAGAGCTCTCTATGCAGCGGTCTATCGTCCTTTGCTTGTCTACCAGATGAGTTTTATCAAATTTGATCTTTGTGGACCGAATTTCAAATACACCAGTCAGAAATTTGTACTGTTTTACTAGTCCGTGACATTACTTTTTCGTTAATTATATCCGTCGTAGGCCACATATCTTCTATCAGAGAAACCCAGTGACTACACTGTAGATCAGCCACACTGCTGAGTTATATCTAATTTCCCATAGAGCTAGTTGTCTTGTAATGTCACAAACTTCACTAAAATAAAATATACTTTATCATGTCACTGAAACATGGTCCTTCGTCGCTTTCCCTACAAAATTTCGGTAAACCATCCATAAGATTATAATTTGTCTGTATTAACAATATCGGTAGGATGTCGTATGATTCTTTTTATAGAACTGTGAGGTATCAAACATAAATCCTAAGAATCGAACGACGTTGATTAATCTTAGAGGAGCTTCAGTCAGAGGAACAGGAGTTTGGTAGCATCCTCCCACCTCGATCTGTCATGAAATCCATAATCTCCTCGTTCCCATGTGGTCTCCAAAAGTATTGCATGAGATATGTGGACATCTACAGGCCAAGAACCTCGCCCGTTCTTCTAGCGCACCAGTTTTTTGGCCGCCCCAAGCCCGCATAAAGAACGGGATGGTTGATGGCCTAGCGACCCTGCTAGAAAAACGTTAACGCACAAAGGTGTAATAAAAATACAGAATATTCAAATAAGAAGCTTACTCTTCGCTGCAATCGCAAAAGCGAAATGACATGGGCTGGTGTAGGCCTTCGGAAGCCAGTCAGCCAGCCTATGTGTCTTCTTTTCATGAAAGCAGGAGTAAGAATGGGTACGTGAAATGTCTGTGCAATGTACGAAGCCGGCTGGGAAGGCTGACTATGTAGCCAAAGAGATACGAAGATATGACTTAGAGGTACTGGGTATCTGCGGAAGCAGATGAAATGGATGTAGACTGACAACATTGTCAGCGGAAGAGTCAATAATCTGCTCCGGTCACCCAGACGGCAATCGCAGACACAATGAGGGGCTGGCTATCATGATGTCACCAGTGTCAATCAAAACCCAAACGCAGTGCACTGGGATCCGATTTCATCCAGCATCATGACAGCAAGATCCAGCTCAAAAGGAAGGAAGGTGACAATTATCCAATGCTACGCATGGTGCTAGAAACAACGTGGGGCAAGCGAAGAAAGATTTTTATAGACAACTACAAACAGTAATGGAAAACATCCCAAATAGTGACATCAAAATCCTTATGGGCTGCATGAATGCCAAATTGGGAACAAGTAGAGCTGGAAGAGAACTTATCATAGTTCGAGAGGTTCTGGCTCAGAGAAATGAATTAGACCATAGAACTCTTTTCAGACTTATGCGTCTTCAGCGATTTTGTGACCGAAGTCAATATGTACAAACATAATAATAATAATAATAATAATAATAGTAATAATTTTATTTTCATATAAACATAAATTTACATGAAAATGCATGCCATTTTTACAGGCACGATCAAGTATGATATAATGTCAAATCTTAAATTGTATACAAGTTAATAATGTTTCAACAGTTAAATATTTGATATATATATAATTACACTCATTGTCTGAACCAGGCCGTATAGTTATTGAATTGTACAGTTGTCCTCCAGGTTGAGCGGGAAAATTGACTTCGTTTCGTTTTCATCCCGCGGTTGTAGCCATACGATAACCAACCAATATTGAGGTAAGTACAACGTTTGCAAGGGATTTGAAGCTGTTTTAGAAAAGTTAAAGTGCTAAGGTGAAACATTAAAGTGTAATAGATTAAGTGAGTGAAATATATCATTAATAAACACATTTATGTAGAAAACAGAATGGGGAAGTAATTAATCCTTAGGCCGACAACGTTCATTTGCAATGTATAATAAAACCAATATATTTTGTACTATCATGATGCCCACTTTTGGCTTTAATACAATTATTTTCAAGCCAGTTGTTTTTATTTCATGCCTTTTTGTCTATTTGGTGCACAACCGTACCCTACAGAGAATAGGAATAGAATAATTCGAATCAAATTCATAAGGAGCTATAAAATGTTAGTTTTAATGGAATATAATGAGGATCAAGTAAAGACGTTATTAGAAAATAAGTGAGACAAGATATTGTGAAGTGGTATTTAAAGATCTGACGATGGATAGCAAGTTAATTTATAAGATGCCCCATAAATCTGTGCAGATCTCGCGTGGTCGCATCTCAACAATAGGCTGAGCGAATGGATATATTTAAAGGTAGAAGCATGATCTGTCAAGGCGTTCACTATTATCTTTTTCAAGATAAAGATCTAAGCCCTCATAAAAATGATGAAAATCTCGAGCCTTCAAATTGCATATTGCTGTTCCTGCAGAATGGGGTGATTCACCTTAGTGACCACCACCATATCTACTGATCAGCTAGCGCCACCCATGGAGATATACGCGAAGCAATTTGGACTTCGCCTGACGAACATACCACAAACCAGTCAAAATTCAGCTCATTACTGCTCAAAGAAGTGCAGTTGAATTTTTTGGACACAAAGTCGAGAAGGAGAGCAAATTTGGGCTCATATTACGATCCAGTCCAAAGAGCCTTCAATTTGAAGGTGAAATCCATGAGATCAACTGGGGACAAGCCACTGTAGTTCAAGTTTGACATTCAAAAACTGAAAGACAAAACTACAAGGAATGCCTTCATTGCAGATCAGTTCAGAGTAAATTCGGAGACACTACGTGGCAATACTGAGGAAACCTGCGTGGAAGAACCTTGTATATAGCTCTCTGAGGGCCATATTCAAGGAAACGTGCTCAACTGTTCTAGGAAGAAAGAAGAAACAAGACAATGAATGCCTCTCAACGGATATATGGAAGCTAATTGAGGAGAACAGGATGGTGAAGGGGAAGATGACTCAATGCAAAGATAGGCAACAGAAGGACAAGCTAAGTTCGATGTATACTGCACTGGATAAAGCAGTAAAGAGGAGTGTTAGAAAAGACAATTCTACGACACACTGGTAACTGAAGCAGAACGGGCAGTGCATAGGTAAAAGGGACCTCAGAACACTATATTGGATAACTAGGTCTGTATCCGGGAAGAGACCAACTAATATGATGAAACCGGTAAAAGATGCTCAAGGGAGCCTGATTACCAAGGATGAGAAACAAATAAAATATTGGGCCGATCACTTCGAACGACTCTTCAATCGACCTTCACCTGCAACTCTCCTAGAAATATCAACAACAGCAAGCATAGATCTACCTGCCAGTGGACACCGATCCTCCAACGAAATCGTAAATCGTAAATGCGTTCAAGCTACTGAAGTTCGGGAAAGCAGCAGAACCAGGCGAAATTTCCCCTGAAGAACTGAAAACACCATTATGGCAAAATGTTTGGAAAGAAGGAAGGGCGTCTACCGATCGGAAGAAAGGCTGGCTACCTTGTGAAGCTATCA